GATCTTGACCATTAAAAATATATTAGAATATTGGGGGTGGAGGGAACCCCTGGGGACTGACCCTATATATCATTCAAATCTTCGTGACATGACGAACAGAAATATATATGGTTTAGGGGTGGGGGATATCGACCATTAAAAAATATTAAAACATTGAGGGTGGGGGAACCCCTGGGGACTGACCCTATATATCATTCAAATCTTCGTGACATGGCGAACAGGGATATATATGGTTTAGGGGTGGGGGTCTCGACCATTTACAATATGTGATGAGGACTAAAAAAAAATGTTGACACAGAGATATGTTTTGCCTGTCGGCAGAAAATTCAGAAAAAGATAATCTGATGGACAGCAACATTGCTAATTAATTCAAAGTTGCTGGGCCATAACCTAGGGGCAGTGCCACGAAATGATCAACAAACTGAGATGAAGTGATAGTAATTTAACTTTATAGAAAATATCAGTGATCTATCACAAGTAGTTCCTATCAACCTGACTTAAGCAGAACATTTAACATTGAAAATTGCTAATTAATTCAAAAAGTCACTGGACTATGACCTAGGGGCAGGGCCTCGAAATAGTCGTCAATTTGATATGTACTGATAGAAATGCAACTTCATAGAAAATATTATGATCTATCAGAAGTAGTTCCTTTCAAAATTGAACATTGATTTGATTTGATTTTGATTTTTGGTGTTTTAACGCCACATTTTAGCACCGCCTTTGGGCTATTTCGTGGCGGCCAGTTTTTATTGGTGGAGGAAGCCGGAGTGCCCGGAGAAAACCACCGACCTTCGACAGGAAAACTGACAATCCTAGTCAATTAAGATTGGAGTCGAGTGCACCCGCACGAGTGGGGTTCGAACTCACAACCTCAGTGTTGACTGGCTAGTGATTACAGTAGTAACTACTTAGACCACTCGGCCACCGAGGCCCAAATTGAACATTGAAAATTGCTAATTAATTCAGAGTCACTGAACTATGAACAAGGGGGCAGGGCCTTGGAAAATCGTCAAACTGATATGTACTGATATTTATGTAACTTTATACAAAATGTCATTGATTTATCACAAGTTGTTCCTATCAGACTAACCTAAGCAGAAAACTTAACAATTGTTGTGACACCGACGATGCCACCGTTGCTGGAAAAACAACTTTCGTTGCAGGCGAAAACAATTATAATCACAATCTAATGAGATATGCACTTCATGGATAGAACTGATTTTACGAAGTAAATGATGTCTTTTGGTCTATCACCTTGAAAACTATTGTAATAGATAGAAACTTTGTAAATAGCAAAAGTGATCAGCAAGATCTACAAATAAAATAAAAATGGCTGAAAATCATGAGCCGACTGCTTCTATGAGTTATTGCCCTTAAATGATGATATTTTGCCACTTTTGTGTTTTTTTAATATCTTGAAAACTTTAATAAAAAGAGCAACTTTATGGCAAAAATGATCAGTAAGACAAGACCTACATATCCAACTTGGTCGACTCCTTGTAGGAATAATTACCCTTAAATGACAATTTTTACATTTTTTTTGGGTCTATTATCTTTCAAGAGAACAATAAAAGAGCGATCAAACTGAAATAGCAATCAAAGTGATGGAAATCACTCATGGAAAGATTAGAGAAGTTTTCAAATTATATTAAGGTATGGTATAGACAAATAACAATAACATTGCACTATTGCTGACAATTGCGTTAACTGCAGGTCTTTAGTTTTCAGTAGGTAAAATGAGCTAAATGTGCATCAATGATAGTGGGTCCCTTAATTTGCACAACAATTTGTTTAAATTGCAATTTCATATCCTAACCAAATAATATTCCTGTTACATTTTTCACCTTATAAATTTTATCTTTAGAAACAGAAAAAATTACCAAATAAAGATTCTTCTAATTAAGTGTATCAATTACCATATAGGGCATGTGACCACCAGCAAACTAAGGGAGCTACCATTTGATTTTTATGGGGGGTGGGGTGGCTAGGATGAAATTTGAAAAAAATAGGCAGGACAGGAGTTTTGAGTAAAAAAAAGGCAGGATGAGACACTTGCAAAAAAAAAAGTCAGGATGACAATTTAGGTAAAAAAAAGTCAGGATAAACTTTAAAAAAAATAGGCAGGACCGAATAGAGTGAAAAATAAAAAGGCAGGACAGAGATTACAACTAAAAAAAATGCAGGACAAAATTTTTCATCCTAGCCCCCCCATAAAAATCAAATGGTAGCTCCCTAAGAATATATTGTCTCCAAAAAATAATCTAAAAAGGTTGTTTTGGGGGCATGTAAGTTGAAACATAGGTATACCATTTTTCACCTTTAAGAATTGCTTATTGAGTTTGAAAACTATTATCTTGATTATATGACACTGAAGATTAAAAATTGTAGAGTGTATTTTAATTCAATTTATAATTTAATATTTTCCAGGAAATGGTATTGAAAATGATTTTTTTCAACATAAACAAATTAAAAAACTTATTTTATTGCCAATCTCTTATAAGTTATAACCTTACTTGAATACCTTTTTTATATCTAGATTTCATATTTTGTCTTTTATTTTGAAAACAAATCTTGTTAATCCTTTATCATTTTTCTTTCAGACATAATTTATAGAATCATTTTATGTAGTATAGATCAAAAGTAATAGGCAATACACTAGACATCATTTAATGGGAGCCATCTCTGTGGGCCCTGCTGTAAATAACAGGTTACTATTTGACTATTAAAGGTGTTAGTGGTTGAATCTCTTAGAGCAGGTTACATGTGCTATTGAACAGTGCACCGGATGCACTTTACCCTTAATTTAAGAAATATAATATAAAAGAAAAAAAACCTCTTGAAATAGACACAGGTTATTTCGCATTACTTGTCAAGCCAGAAATATGCCATTTAAATTGTTGGAACTTTGTACTGTATCCGTATTCACTAGATTAAATAGTTCTTGTGTTTACCTATAAAACACTCCATTTTTAAAGTACAGTAAATATTTTTATCATGTGGAAATCTATACGTCATTAGTCCTAGGCTCCACAAAAATACATCAGATTGAATTATTTGATTGGGTTAAATTTGTTGTGTTGCCAATCTGCCTATCTTGGTTTATTTTATCCTTCAGAGTGATAACACAACATGTCCTGGTGGAGTAATATCTCCACATATAAATACTCACAAGAGAACAGAACTAAGCCAGTTGTATGGATTGATGGAAAAAGACATAGAGATGAATTCTGCAGCAAATGTTAAGGACTACAATGACAATATTCAGCATCAGTTTTTGTGTGGTAAAAAATTATTATGGATAAGTTGATATGAAGCACTTTTTTTTAAGTTATTACATAGTCTCGTAATGTGCTGAGAGTGATTTTATTCTATGTTTTTTAGTTAAAGTGTTATATTTGGCCTAGGAAGTTGTACATACATTATGACACACCCTCTAGTGTTGGTTAATATATATGTAAAGCATAAACTTTGAAATCATAACAGTTCTCAAGATATAGAGTGGACATGATCTGTACCATAGGACATGGGGTTGTCAACTGAAACCAAAGTTTTTGACCTTGATCTTTGACCTAGGAAGTTGTACATACATTATGACACACCCTCTGGTGTTGGTTAATATACATGTCAAGTATAAACTTTGAAATCATAGCGTTTCTCAAGATATAGAGCAGACACGATCTTTACTATAGGACATGGGGTTGTCAACTGAAACCAAAGTTTTTGACCTTGAACTTTGACCTAGGAAGTTGTACATACATTATGACACACCCTCTGGTGTTGGTTAATATACATGTCAAGTATAAAGTATGAAATTATAACGGTTCTCTAGATATAGAGCAGAAACAATTTGTTATGGACGGACAGACAGACTGATCACTATAGGGCGACCCGCCACTAGGCTGGGCCCTAATAAATCTATCATTTCTATATATATAAATACATTTGTGTATTCAATAATGAGGTCAAGTATTTGTGTATTGAGATGAATGGTCTGTTTAATTATGTAAGACTGAGGATGATTAGTAATTTGGTCAATATGATTGCCACTTAAGGAGGTGGGACATCGAAACTAAGGCCCCACCTTTTCTCTGATTGTTTTGTATCATGGCAGTTGTCAATCATACTGGTATTGTATCATTAATCTTACCTAATTATAATAACAAAAAATAGCCTGCAAATTGACAAAACTTAAAGACATACATACTTCAATGAACTGCTCAAAAGATATAACCCAATTTTTTCACAGTTCATATGTGCATATTTACACAGACATGAGAATAATGGCCATTGGGGAACTATATTTCAGTGTGTATACATTTTGTAGATTTAGTAGCTAACCTGTGCTACTTTTTGTTTGGGAGGCCGGTGCCTCAGGAAAGACTTGGAACAAGTTCCAATCTTTACAAAAATAATCAGCAAGACAAGATTTACTAATTGGTCAAGAAAGCCGAAATCATCAGTCCACTCCTTTTAGGAGTTATTGCCTTTAAACAACCATTTTTTTTCCAATTTTGCATGTAATAAGAAAACTAAAACAAATTTAAAGCAAAAAAGAGTAGATCTATTAATAAGTCAACATGGCTGAAATCATCAATCGACTCCAATTTCTTGTATTTATAGTAGCTAAAGAGTAAACAGCAAAAATAATAAGCAAGACAAAAATGTCACATAACTGAATTGTCAGTCCACTCCTTACAGGAGTTATTGCCATTGTTTTACACATGTTTGCATTTTTGGCAAAAACTGTTAACAACACACAAATGATCAGCAAAAAAAGAGATTTTAGTCATGAATTATATTCTAGTCTATGATGTTTGATAGTAGCCATTGTAGAAGATCCACATAGATTCAGGTGAGTGACACATGCCCTTAAGAGCCTCTAGTTATTTTTCTGAATGATTTCTTGATACATGTACTTAGCAAATATACACAGTAGTTAACAGATGTTGCTGGTGTCAAACTTTGTTTTATTGAACAATCAATAAAGAGTACCGGTATATATTGCACATTTATTTTCACTCTGAGAATAAATAAATATATATATAACAACAATGTGTACACCTTCGTCACACCTTTTTCGAAAATAATTTCATAAACATAATCATAGATAGGAAGGTCAAGGTAACAATGACTAACATAATCCATATCCACCAGGAACAAGTCTGTGTATGTTTCTCTAAACGATCACTTTCCTTCTTCAATTTAACATAATTCCCATCTGTTAGTTTAACACTTTCTTCCAATTTCTGCAAATAAAAAGAAACAATTTTGTCTATCAAGTATAAAAATGCAATAAACATCTAAAAAATAAATTATTAACTTGAAATAATTACTTGGCAAAGTTAACTGTTCATTTCAAAATGAAATGCAAAGAATGCAATCATTTTTCTAAGTCGTGACAGATGCTTAGGTGATATGATTTTTTTTGAATGTTCAATTCTTTAACTTAAGAGGGATAGCATCTATTTCAAAATAACGAAATTCAGTTTTAGATTTCATTAAAAATTGTAATTACTAGTTGATTATTTATTTAAGGAATGACTGTAATATTTTGTCTGTCTATGAAGAAATAACATAAAAAATATGGTGCACCACATTTTTTATGTTATTTCGAATAGACAGAAAAAATATTAAAGTCATTTCTTATAATTTAATTCTAAAAAGGAGTAAATCATGATAAAAATGTTGATGACGTCGCGGTCACATGACAAAATTATGTCTATGAGCTGATAGACAAAACACTTTCAGCCAATCAGAAGATGTGTTACATCCAAAATTAAATTATTGAAGTTTAAACAAAGTTTTTATGAGCAAAATAAACATCATGTAACTTAGAAAGTGCTCAAAAGAATGTTTTATGTTGTCAAACTTTTATTTCTCATAAATAACAAAAAAAACTTATAGATTAATTTAGGGCAGAAGATTTTGTTTTTTCATCTGTTTGTAGAACATATATTTTTAAGGTTTTGAACATTTCCTACAAAAATTAAAAAAAAAAATTTTCTACTAACAATAGTCTTGCTCACACTCTTCATTTAAACAATAGTGGGTCATGGTTAATAAGTGACCATAAAACCGAGTCTCTTCACAAAATTACTGAGGACAAAATTCACCCTAATATCTCAAAAATTTCTTTTTTTAATTACCATCAAGTTAATGTGTTTTAAACATAAACATCCTGTATTACACAACAAGAACTTGAAATCAGGAGCACCAGATGTGTTCACAGGATCTTGTATCATTCCACTAGAATAATTAAAATGGCTATCCCATCTATATAATTTTATAAAAAAATAAATAAACCCATTAGTTATTACTTTATTTTGGACAAATGTCATTTTACAGATGAAGAAAATCTTTTGAATGAATGCAATGTTTCAAATGAAGGTAACACTTAAAATGTGTTAAAATTCTGCAAAGAAACCTACTAGAACATTTAAGGATGTTCGCTGCTCTGTTTTAAAATAACAAGCTTTTTAAAAGACTGTTATAAATTGACAGTATATAAATGAAGAAACTAAAAAAGCAGAAAAAAATGAAGGGTCCGTGTGCTTGTTTTCAAGATATAAATCATTGTAAATTTGGCGGGAAATGATTCTCTCTAGATTTTTTATACATTTAACATTGGCACCTTTTTTATGTCTAAAAGTATGAAAAAATAACAAGGATTTAATAAAATTTTCAAAGATGGCATTTCAAAATATATTTAATCAAATTATGAAAAGAAAAGTAGGGGTTAGTGGGAAATTTTTTTTAATGGCACTACATGGTTAATCCCAGAGGAATACGAATATCTGGCAAACATTCAAAAACAAGAGGAGCGAACATCCTTAATATAGTGTTACCAAAGTTTTCTGAGTTTTTCTAAGGGGCATGATGTTTGCTTGCATAGAACACTAGGCACTTTTTTATAGTTACATGTAAACACCCTTGTAATGATTTAGACCAAGTTATTAAAGAGGGTAAGGTTTTTTATTGTAATATCCAATTATAAGATCCTTTGAAAAAGTTTGCTCCAGGGTGACAGTCATATTTGATGCAGATCAGATGTAAATTTATGCAAGCTTCTTGCAGAAAAAAGTTCGGGAAAGAAGGGAGGGTCTACTTGTGGAGGAGAGAGATTAAGGGAAAAGGGCACTTTTCTATAATCAGCTGTTTTGAAATACATTGTTATCATTTTAAAATGCACAATTCAAAAGTGGTTGTTGTTTCATTTAAATGTTTCATAATTTAGTAAGGCATCCATTTCCCTGAACTAGTATACATTATTGTTTAAGGGCCAGCTGAAGCCCCCTAGGGGTGCGGGTTTTCTTGCTGCGTTGAAGACCCATTGGTTGCCTTCAGCTGTTTTCTGCTCTTTGGTCAGGTTGGTATCTCTTTGACACATTCCCTGTTACCATTCTCTATTATATGTTATACAAAATAGTCATATACACAAAACACATAGCTCATGCTTTTGTGATTAAAAAAGCATTTAACACTTATTTTGAATCAAGGATTACAAAAATCCTGATACAATTTTAGTTCATGCTTTTGTGTTTAAAAAAGCCTTATACTAGTTTTGATTTTTAAATCAAGGATAATTATACAAATAAGAATGAATAATATTTATTTTTTTATATAATAACTTGGTTCCAATTTCACTAAGATTACTTTTTTTTTTTTACATATTTTCATTTTCCACATTTGAATTTAAAAAAAATATTTTCATTTTCTATTTGTGTGAATGTTACTATCTTATTGTTTATTCTCATAAAAGATATTAAAATTCTTTTCTTGCTTGATATGTGGATGAGAATTCTACAGCTCAATAAATCAATAAATTGATTATTTGAGACAGATCTAGATATTTCAGTCAATGTAAAACATTCAAAATCAAACAAAAGGCTTTAAAAATATTTGCTGTTTACAACAACTTTTGCATTTAAATTTTGTTCTGGCATAAACTACTTCATTTCATAAACACTGCTCATCATAAACATTTTTCATTATAAACAAGTTTAAACAAAGAATTGCATCATCAAACATTCAAACTTCTGAAAAGATTGTGAAGTTTTGATGATGACAGTTAACAAGCGATAGCTTACACATCACTCTTGGTTAAATTTAACTAACACAAAGAAAGTTTTTTGTCTTTTAACTATGAAACCAATTGAAATCATTGTTACCATGTCACCCTATCCTTAAAATCATGAATTAGAAGCCAGCTGTTACTTATAAATTATTTTTTTACCATTGAAATGCTTATTTATTTGAAACTACAGCCAACACCTTCCCTCCTTTAACTTTATTTTATTTCTTTAAATTGTTTTAAGTTTCAGTTTATTTATTAACATGGTTATTTAAACGCTTTGTTTTTTTTCCATATTTTTATGATCACATAATGTGACAGCTTGAATACATATATTGGACTAAAAACTAAATGGGATGTGAAAAAAAAAGCAAATGAATTTCAAATTTCAATTGAATTGTTTGTATTTTTCCAAATAGATACGTATATACAGTTTAATTTCTCATCACTATTTTAGGTCAGGGGAGATAACACATTTATTAAAAAAGCTTGATTTGTGTTTTGTGGTAATATGCATTGTGTATAAGTTTCATAAATTTGATTGAGGCAAACTAAAGTTAGAGAATCGAAACTAATTTTGGGATGTACAGACAAGGGTAAGACTTAATGCTCCCTCTGCTGCGGTGGGGACATAAAAAAATAATAAACCTTGCATGATGGACTGATTTAGAGACACATCACTCGTGAAAACTTGTTTCGAGCAACCCCTTACATGATTATTAAAAGATCCCATTATAATGCACATTTGCAGAGACAATATTAACAATCTTTAAGAACATATTGTACATTTTGCTTGTAATTGTTGAAAGGTGCAAAAAATAGTAAATTCCATGAAAACATCATTTGTATATTCTTAGATTATTATTTATAAAATTTTCTAATAATGGATAAAGCATTTATTAATCAGTTGATTAGAGGGTCCTATTATAGGATTAAACACATTTTTTCTGGAGGTTATTGATGTGTAAACTGGGGCGATTAACTCACAAACTGAAAAAAAGTTCTTAGGACTTTTATGTAAACTTTGTGAGTAAGCGACCCAGTTTACACATCAATAACCTCTTGAAATAAATTGCTTCACCTAGCGCAGCTGGATACGACCGCAGAGGTCCAACCCTGAACAGTAGGGGCAAAAAAGGACACAATATTTGCGCTTGATACAGGACTGAATTTGGAGTGTAATTAATTATTTGACACATAAAAGATTTCTGACACAGAATAACTGTAGTCAAAGAAATTAGAATTGTTTTTTTGCTTTAGTGCAATACACTATGCTGTTGCATATTAACCCACCTCCCCACTTTTTTTTTGCAAAAAAAATAATATTTGAAGAATTTTAATTTTTAATTTTTGAAATCTGAAATGAGAAAAAATTGACCCCCCACAATTTCTTTTTACCCCCCCCCCCCTTTTCCCCCCAAAAAAAATTCTTACCTCAATTATAATTACCCATTTAAATTTACCATAGTGCTAACTTAATCTTTTTTATAATAGAATATAAGATATGGTGTCAAATCTTTCATATGGATTTTTTTGTAAAAAAAAAAGATGCATCATTTGCAGATATTTTTACTGGTCTTCCTTTATAAATATGCATTTCTTTAAACATAATTTAAAAGCAGTGTAAGGGAGGTAATCAAAACTTTGTGTTTGGATTACTTCCTTTACACTGCTTTTAAATTGTCTTAAGTAATTGTCCATTAACCATTTAAAAGCAGTGTAAGGGAGGTCATTCAAATGAGTTTGAATTACCTCCCTTACACTGCTTTAAATTATGTTTTGTACTAAAGTTATTGTCCATTAACCAGGACACCCTTGTTTTTTTCCTTGTTTGCCCCTTATTCCTAAACGGTTTGAGCCATAACCCCCAAAGCAAATCCTAACCATCCCTTTGTGGTATGGAAACTTGTGGTATAATTTCAGAGAGATCCATACACTGTTCCACAAGTTATTGTCTGGAAACTATAAAAATGCTTATTTGGGCCCCTTTTTGGCCCCTAATTCCTAAACTGTTAGGACCATAACCCCAAAAATCAATCCCAACCTCCCTTTTATGGTTATAAACCTTGTGTTTAAATTTCATAGATTTCTACTTAATTATACTAAAGTTATTGTCCGGAAACCAACTGTCTTCGAACGACGACGACGCAACGTGATACCAATATACGACCGAAA